CGATGGCTTACTCAGTTAAGCGTTTGACTCTTGGTTTCTGCTCAGGTCATGATCACATGGTTCATGAGTTCAAGCCTGGCATTGGGCTCAGGCTCTCTACTGAATCCTGGAGCCTGCTTGGTATTGTCTATCTCCCTTATTCTCTGCCCCTCCCCCACTCTCAAAAATAAATAAATATTTAAAAAAATATATATATATATATGTAGTCCTGCACTAGTGAATAAGAAATATTGATGAGAGAAAGGAGGAAAGGAGATTTAAGATAAACTTCCCAAGATAAAACCAAAGGTTTGAAAGAAACAAATCCTTCAGGCGAATATGTATAGAAAACATTTACTGTGACAAATGGTGTTTATGAGCAAAATCACTGTGAAGTCATTAAAGTCTGTCTTTTCAATTCTAGTAGTCATCGTCTGGGAAATTGCTTAGCCCCTGTTGGCACCTGACTTTCCCTATTAAGAAATCTAATGTCTTCATAATGTCTCTCTGCCATTCCTCCTTGATCATAATCTGCTCTCACAAAAAGACCTAAAGTGCATGCACATTAAAGTCACAGTGATAAAATATACAGTAAAGTATTTTGCTTTGGGGGTTGGAGTGTTCAATTTTAATAGTAATTAGTTTTTTAACTAACAGGAATTGTAGGCAGTAGTGAGCAGATTAGGGACTTTTTCTTGGTGGGGGTGGGGGGTAAACTCAGAAGAAATGTTCAGATATTCTTGAAACTACACCACACAGGCAGACCACTTACTCTGAGTACATTTAGTGCCAATAGGAACTATATGTACCATTTACCATGGAAACTTCAAATGCACTTACAAATTCAGAGAATTGTAAAATGAGCACCTGTGTACCCATCAACCAGCTTCAAACATTACCAAATCATAGATAATCTTATTTCATTTATATTCTGATCTCCCCGCTAGCCCCTACAAGACTGTCCTGAGGGAAATCTCCAGCAGCATGTCTTGAGAAATAGAAGTATTTTACGACTTCAGAAGAGAAAAAAAACCCATACATATTTATATTGGTGAAGACTAAATGGCCCGAAGAGAAAATATGGTAGCACTAATCTCTGTCTTAAGAGCTGAAAATTTTAAAAAACAACAACAACTGGGTAATAGTGTATTTCTGTGAATCTATAATTTTTTCAAAAACAAAAAGAAATTGGAAGGAAATCTGTACTCTAGAAAAGTTACAATAGACACATCTCCATCCCAATCAAAAGATGCTTGTAAAGAAATATTATGCTCATGATTTTTCTCTTTATGTCCCTCCCACCCCTAATAGGATTATTGAATTTGCAGAAGTTTCTAATTATTTCTAGAGTAGCAAGAAAAATTCATACAATATTTGTACTACATGCTACATCAATAGTTTGTAATTAATCTAGTACTTTAAAGAACACCAGTTGCTTGAACCCAATCATTTTATTTATATAACCAGTTTATATGGTTCCAACAACCTTCTTGCCACATATTTTCCAAATAGAATGTTTTCAGAACTTTGAATAAAGTCATTACTATTTTAAGCATTCTAAAGTAAACTCATATTGTACAAGAAATCCTGTACAATCACATGGAAACTGTCCCTAAATCCTATGCAATTCATTGTCATGTGTAAATGTTCTACATAGAGGTTCTTTAGGATCTAGATGGCCCATTACAATGATAGCTTATAAAAGATGGTGGAGGGGAAATGCTAGAAGGAATGGATGGACTCAGAGTGGGCATTATATACCTATCCTTGCCTTGACTTTCCTTTGCTCTCTCATTCATCATCCTTTTCCAGTTGTCTTGGTCTTAGTGTTTGCTATCTGTTGGGCCCCCTTCCACATTGATCGGCTCTTCTTCAGCTTTGTGGAGGAGTGGACTGAATCCCTGGCTACAGTGTTCAATCTCATCCATGTGGTGTCAGGTAAAATTTTGGCTGGTTTGGTTGTATCACAAATATCTACTTCCTCATATCACTTAGAGCAGTTGGTTCTACTTAGATATACTAATTATTATGGGGATATTGATCCAAAAGAAATATACCAAATCACTATTGTAGGGCCTACTTTATTGAAGACTCTAAGCATGGTGATTACAGCAGAAAAATGGTCTAAGAAGTGACCCCTTTGTTTTGTATCCAATGACCACATGACTGAATTGGGTTTTATGAATTAAACATCCGTGTCCCTGAAATCTCATATTGTCTTCAGCAAGTGTTAGATCCTCATGAAAACCAACAAAAGGGCATTCATGAGGCATCAAGGTATGCTTTTAGGCTAATTTAATGCCGCTTGTTAAGGATACCATGGAATAGGGTGGAAATAGCAGTGGAAAGATCATTAAGTCAGAGGATCTGGATCTGCATCTCATTTCCATCATTAATATTCTGTTTGAAGAATGTGGATTTCTTCATGCCATAGTTTCCTCAACGGGAAAATGGCAATAATGCCTGCCCTATACAAACCATGGGCTGTTGGTAAAAAGTAAATGAAGTAAATAGCTATTAAATGAAGTAAAAAGAAGTAAATGAAATAATAGCGATTAAAGAGCTTTGTAAGCTGTACAATGCTGTGTATCTTTCTATAATCATCATAACAAGGTTATTAAGTGCTATTATCATCACCATTTACAGCTGAAAGAACAGTTCCACAAGAAAGAAATGACTTGCCCAAAGTCATTTGGCTGGCAAATAGTTAAAACAGTGTTCCAGTCCAAGTTGTCCAACTTCAATATTCTTTCTCCCAAAATGGAACAGAGAATGGTTACCCACATCCCTCTTTCTCAGCCAATGTGGCTGCTAGACTTGGGTGCAGACCACCTGTTCCTCTACCTTGGCTAGTCACTGGCTACTTCTATGGGCACTTTAGATCATCAAAGACCTCACCAGAGAAGAGGGATAAAAGCAACTTGTGCACGTTAAGTTGCAGATGTGCAAAAAGCAAAAGCAACAGTGTTCATAGGTATATTGAATGCTATGTATATTATCTACATTCAATCACCCTTTCTTTTCTACTCAGGAGGCCTTGTGTATGGTTTATATCTTGACATTAGTATATTCTTCCATATTAAATTAATTACTAATTCTGAGTGAAAACAAAAAAATATGAAAACACAAAAATATATCTTTGTGGTTAAGCTGAGAAAAAAATAAAGTGATTAAATAAATTGGAAAACACTATAAGATCACATGAAACAACTCACTGACTCTACATCTCCAGATACATCAAGACAACGATTTTAAGATTTCCAAATTACAACATTTACATTAACATTTTCCAGTTAAAATATCATCTCTCTCTTCCCCACATTACCAGCCAGATGAAGTCTAAACCTCTTAAATGCTCCCAAAAAATGCCCCCCAACTTGCCTTTTGATCCTCAAGTTATGTATTTCCATTTATAAATCATATACTTGTCAAACTAGTTAATTAGATCTGCACATCCGCATTATTCCTGCACAATATAACCATTCCTGCCTGTGCACATTTGGCTTCTACCTGCAGTATTCTTTTATCTCTTCCCCAGTTATCTCCTGCCCATTTCAGGGTTGGCAGCATTCAATCATCTCATTAAATCCTTCATGGCCATAACAGTCCTTGTGTTTATGCCGTTATGTGAATTTCCATAGGATGACTGTCAGTATTACTTTTTGTTTTCTCTTAACAGATATAGTTCGGTATTGTTCTTTTGTTTACTGTTGAAGTTAGCCATATAATACTATTCCGTGTCCTTGGAGAACAAAGTCTAAATCCACTACCTACCATGTGCCTCAAAGTTTCTGGCACAGAATAAGAATTCAATCAGTATTTACTTGTTGAATGAATTCACAATCCATAGAAAAATTCTCTTTCTATATTCCTCCCTGCCCAGTTCTGTGCATAGGGTGTATGGCACTCTGTGTGTCCTGAACTATATATGAATGAGGACAACAATGAATATGTTAATGACAGTACCTATCACTTGTTTTATATTCTTAGCCATTCTCAGTCCCTCTGTGGATAGTGTCTCAACTTTAGGATGATATTACTATTCCCATTTTACAGAGAAAAGGATTGAAGTGCCAGTTCCATCTAAAGTCATAGAACAAGCAAGGGCTAAGATCAGAAACGAAGTTCTCTGATTCTCAACCTTAGGCTCATTTTGGGTGTTGGTGAAATAAAATAGGATACAGAAATAAAAGAAGCATGTGTACCAAACAGGAAAATGGCAGTGTGCAAGAAATTTGGTGGGGAAACATAAACGGCAAAATACAATTAATCAAGTTGAAAGTAAGGTGGGAGTAGCCATCAAGGGGAAAGACTAGGTAGGAAAAGGCCATTGGGGAATCTTTCTATGAAGACATAGTTAGCATTATAAGAAATCTCAGCAGGGACTACGACTTAACTGATTTACCATTCCTCCATTACTTTCAGTTTCAAATTATAGATTTAAGCAAAGCTCCAATGTGATTAAAAACCTCTCTCTTTCCTCTGATACTTAAGCATCTCACGTTAATGCTATGAGAGCATGTTCTTTAATTAAACAAGTGGGGATCAAAGGAGTTTGCCAAGCATCTCAGAGAGATCCCATGCTGGCCTAAATTTTTTCCAAGACTCTTTAATCTTTCTGTGTTTGATTCCTAAATACACAGGTGGTAGATCAGTTCAGAGCATTTTGTATTCTCAATTAGAGTCTTGTATATATTATTACTTCCAAAAGAGGCAATCACAGGGATTCTAGGCCTTTGTTAAATATTTATGCTTCACTCTACCATGCCTCTCACTCAATTTCTCCTCAGCATGTCTCTTTTTTAATCTCCTGTGTTCCAGGTGTCTTCTTCTACCTGAGCTCAGCCGTCAACCCCATTATCTATAATCTACTCTCTCGCCGCTTCCGGACAGCATTCTGGAATGTGATCTCTCCTTGCAAACAGGGGCACTCTCAGCACCACCCACAGGGGCCACCTGCCCAGCGGAACATCTTCCTGACAGAATGCCACCTTGTGGAGCTGACTGAAGATGCAGGTCCCTCGTTTCCTTGTCCGTTGATCAGCAGCAGCTCTCATCCCCCAACAGCCCTCTGTAATGGACAGGCACCATGAAAAGAATACTCAAAGAGCTGACATTCCTCTATGCCACCATACTACAGGAAGGGACATCCCATAATGTATGCCTTCTTATATGATAGTAGGGAGGTAAAATGCATCTTACAACTTATATACCGACTTGTAATTTATGTGTGTTTTTAAACAAATTCCTACCAAATCTTGTATCTAAAACCCAGAACCTTCTGAGTTTTAGTTTCTTTTCCACCATCCTAACTGCCTCATGCTCCTCCACTAGTTCATGGAAAGAAAAAAAAAATCATGACCAGTAAAGCATGACACCTATACTTTGAGTAATTTTCACTTTTGGAAACAGTTTGTCCTGCATCATCTACATTCTGAGTCAGGCTGTAACTCTCACAACCAATGGCCCCTGTGAGACATAAAAGGAAGACATGTAGATGCTATGTTACTGTATATGACTCAAGGCAACCATGCCATTGTTCTTCCACAGCAAACTATTTATCCTACTGACTCATATTTTGCCTTTTTAATGTGATACACTAGAGTTTTGAAACCTGATACTTGAAGAATCCTCCTGATAATATGGGAATGCTCCTTAGAACTATTATTCCCACTTTCCTAATCCCCACATCATTCTCCGTCATTTCTCACCATGAATCAGATCAGATACAAGTTCAACTTAGAAAAGAACAGGAAGAGAGAGAAGGCTGTGGTGGAAGTCAAAAGAGACATAAACTATACTAAACACAGGCTTGATTGTTTCATAGTTTTGTCTGGACATAGAGTTCTAAAGTCTTACTCCATAAATAAACAGAGGTATGGTCTACTATCTTGGAAAACAATCATATACTAATCATATAGTAACTACTAGTCTCAGTCCAATGACTTTCACTTACTAAATCATTATCTATATAACACTCTTCACACATATGAGAAAAATCAACTTCCAGACTCCTATTATATCATCACATGTAATGTATATTCTATTCAAAATGGAATACTTGTTCTTCTTATGAAAATATTCCCCAGTTGTCTCAGATGCACATATTTGCTTATGAAATTCCCTCTTTTTCTCCAGTCTCCATCTGTTTCTCTCCTACCCATCCTTCAATGTCCATCTCAATATGTCACCTCCATAAAACTCTGCTTTATTCAAATAGATGTGGTATCTGACTTGTCAATCTCTCTCTCAAGCTTTTTCCCCACTCTGCTCCATATTTCAGGGATTTAAATTCTTGTTTTGTCAGACTGTAAATTTGTCAAAAGTGTGAAGTATCTTGTGCTCATTTTTGCTGTTGCTGGGATCCTGGTAATATATCTGTCGCAATGGTAGATGTTCAATAAATATGTGGTGAGTTAGATGACTTCACATTCCAATGTGCTGAGCCAAAGAACACCTCCAGATGAAACCACATTAAGAGCCAAAAGACTAAAATTCTGTTTCTGACAAGGATATCTTTCAGTTTACCATTTAACCAGTTATGATTATAATAGCATGCCTTGCTGTGCCCAAAGTGCAAGAAGTCTCTTCCCAACCCCTGATTCTTACTGATGTTGAAACATGCAAGTTCCTGCTTTTAGTCTAAGAATTTTCCCTTAATTGAATGAACCATCCTACTGAGAAACCATCCTATTATTGGTCTTTGACATCATTATGTCCTAACTGAACAATCATCTTCAAAGTGATTCAATATATTTTTAAAAACCTCTTTGCTAATTTACAGCCAACAACCAATTTGTTCTGATTAACAAATCAGAATTCTCCAGTGATGGTTTATGTTGGTGAGCAGAACCCTCGGGTCATTTGGGGATTAATTTTAAAAGACTCAGCAAATCAAAACCTCATAAATGGAGGAGAAATGAATTTCCTTCTCATATTTTAGAGACATTCTCAAATGAAGATCTAGTAAAGTCATCATCCTTAACGTCAACTCCCAGTGACCAGGACTAAATATGTTGCTGGTGTAGGTAGATGGATAGAGAAAGAAACAACACTAAAACTGAAGCTAGTAAATTTGTTGCTTGATTACAGCTTTGATCTCTTTTTTTCCTCCTCATTTACCTTTTTTCTCTTAAAAATCTAACAGGAGCAATTGGTTTAATTAAGCCTAGCATTAAAAAGTGGGGAAAAAGAGTGTTGAGATTTTGTTCATAGACATATACATACAGACATGCCCATATATACAGAAAGGAAACTTATACTTCAAAATTAAAATTGAAATGTCAAAAGTCTGAGAGTTAACTTATATAATGGTTCACACACAATTAGTAGAACAAAGGGGAAAGCTAAAGCTAAATTGTTCAATGATACACAATAGTTGACTTCATCATCTCCTTGTGAATTCCTTGCAATCTCTGCATTTTGGAATAACAAAAGAAGAGGCCAAAGAGCAAACATGATTAATAAAATACTGTTAATTTACTCTTTTGTAATTAAACAGTGACTTTTGAGCTCTCTAGTAATTCATCAACTTAGTGAACCAAAGCAATAACATTCAGAATGTTGCTTGACAAATTAATTTGTCTAGCCCATAAAGACAGCAGAGATTCTTAATCTGAGACCCATGAAAAAGTGTCAGGAAGTCCAAGAATCCCCTGAAATTGTATTCAGAATTCTTAGTGTATACTTTTTTTGTGGAGAATGTTAATAGCTTTGATTAGCCCCTCAAAGTAGTCTATGACTTAAATTATTATAATTAACTAAAGCACCCTTCATGGTGTCACTTAGTGGATGAGTTATAGTTGAATGAAGGCATTGCAGGAAAATTTAAAAGTATCATTATTCCAACATAAGAATCTAGGGTATATAAGTATTAGCTGTTCAATGGTGCACTGGTACTAGTTCAGACTGCCTTGCAAAATTTTACTATTACATATTTAGGAATTTTGAGAACTTGGTATTATATGACTGGTAGCCTGAAATCAGCCACAGTGGGAATATTTACACCATAGAAGTTAGCAAACACTTTACATTGGGGCTATTTTTCCCCCACAGAGCCATCTGCTCAGCACACAACCAACCACTGATATGCTGGCAATCTGCCATCTTGCTGTATTACACATGATTTCTTTGTAGAATAGATGCCCAATAACACCATTATAATTACAGACCCCTTAAATTTGTGGTTAACTCGCTGACAAAAAAAAATAGTCAATGGACCAGATTTTGACCTGGAGGTATGAGATTAAATAAGCTAAAGCATGCTAATTATGACATGAAAGCTTCATCAGCATTTTATAATTAACCCAGAATGGAAGAATTATCCTTGGATGCTGTCCATTAATATCAGTGCAGAAAACTGTAACAGCTCTACATGTTATCTTCCCTATACATCTGTTTTTAAATATCCCACAAGATTCATTGTAAAAAGACTCAAAATTTCCACATTCTCTCAGCTTGGCTGGAGATCTCACTTTTTAAATATGTAGAAGAGTACTACATAAACATTGTAAGGAAGCTTGAGATTGTATTAGCTTATGCGAGCCAAGTAAATCCAAGCAATCTATTCCTTCCCTTTTTTTCATCCCCTCTAAAGCATTAAATTACATTTGAACTCTATGTTAGACACATGTATATGCTATACTTTGGAAACATTTTCTTGGTAATGCTAATATTAGGGAGTTTTAACTAATCTATACATAGCCTAGAAATTGTTGCATATACCTAAGTGATACCATTTCACACAAAGTGAAATATACACTTTGTGAAAAATACATACTGTAAATTTAGTAGGCTAGAATGGTTAGATTGAGCTGGTAAACAAAATACTATTTAAAAAGAAAAGTAACATTATTTTTTTAGAAAAGTGTATGTTAAGAAGCCTACATTAATGCATAGGTAAGAATGATTTGTGAGTACATAGATATTTTGAAAATAGGTCTTAACCAGGCTTGGGTAAAGCTTGTTTAGTTGAATATTATACCAACAGAAGGAATATCTTGTTCTAATTCCATGCTTCCTTTTATAAATGTTAAAAATTTTAATATTGATCCTAACTTTATTACCAATTCTTTAATAGTAGAAACTGTGAGCTTTACCTCAGTAACATTCATATGCATGATTATCTCACTAAGTTCCCAGAACTTCACTAAGAGGGAATTGTTATCTCCTTGCTTACTGTTGACAAAAGAAGACTTGTCCTCTCTTACACTTGGGGAAAGAGACAAAAAGCAAGCACAAAGTCTGAATGAGTCACATAACAGTATTTATACCTTACTCATCTATTTGCAGTCTAGCTGGGGTGACTCCACTCCACCCAAGCTGGGGAATTCACAAGGAATATAATGGCCACCCACTGTAGGCTCTCCCCATGCTAAGCAAGTCACTTTGAGATTGGCTAATCTCAAAGTTGGGGGGCCTGGAATTACACTCGTCTCACCATGAGACCGTGGCCTGGCCAAGGACGAGATCTATAATACCACCAGAAGTAGTGAAGTATTGAGACTACAGCATGAATCTAGTGAATGGAGCAGCAAGTTTGAACCCAAAACTATGTGACTTGAAAGTCTGAGCTTCCCCCATTTTACTACATGGATTCTACATGGGACTCTAGTTCATTGACATCACTACAAAAGCCTTTCAGTTCAATGCCATCTCCAAATATTACCTCTTCACTTATCTCCCACCAAATCATTAACCAAGATTGGAGACCAAACACAGTAGTCAAGAACATGGACCCTAGAGCCAGATGCCTAGGTTCAAATCCTGGTTTAATATAATTAACTGCATGACTTTGGACAGGTTACCTAATCCTCCATAGTTCAGTTTTGCCATCCATAAAATAGACATGCTAACAGTATCTATCTATATCACCATGGTTACGTGACGATTAAATAAGGCAACATACTATTTGTAACATTCTAGGACAGTGCCTGACACCTACTAAGTGTTATAATAAGTGTTTGTGGGAAAATGACCCATAGAAATGGAGACATTTATTGCTTCATGAAGATATATTTTTGGATGCCATTTCACTTTGTTTACAATGTTACTCTCTCTGTCAGCATTCAA